AGGAAAGAAAGGGAAATCTAGAAATATACACAAATACTTTCAGAACTTTAATTCATATGATAACAGAATTCCTATTCAACAGTTGGAACAATGGCTACCTGTTTTAAAGAAAAAATAAGTCAAACCCACTTTTTATTTTTCTTAATAACCAAATACATATCCATAAATGTTCCAAAGCAATAAACTTTTTCTACAAAAGTACACAGAGCAAACATCATGGGACATATGGTCTGAAGTCTGAATCACAATTACTTAACTCTGCCATTATAGTATGAGAGCCATATGTAATACTGAAATGAATGGGTATGGCTACGTCCCAATAAAACTTTATTAATAAAAACAGGGCCATATTTGGCCCACAAGCCATGGTTAGCTGATCTGTATTGAAAGGTAAGATGGGGGCAACGCCTATGGCTCAAAGGAGTAGGGCATTGACCCCATATACTGGAGGTGGCAGGTTCAAACCCAGCCCCAGTCAAAAACTGCAAAAAAAAAAAAAAAAAAAAAAGGTAAGATGGAAAAACTGTCTTATACTCATAGAGTAAAAGAACCCTTTCTAAGAATGCCATAAAACCCCAAAGTCTTAACAGTAGAGACTGGATAGCTCTCCAGAAAGAATCTTCGAACTTCTCTACAATAAAAGTTTTATATACAAAATTCAAAAGACAAATGGGGAATATATACAATTTATTAAAAAAGCCAATTTTATTAATTTACAAAGAACTCATAAAAATCAAGAGAAAGCTAATGAAATAGAAAAATGGGAATAGAATATGAGCAGGAAGATTCTAGACAAAAAAAATGCCCAATGCTATGAAAAATATGCAAAGTCACTCATAATTAAAGAAATTTACATCAAAACAAAATTTGTAAAAGGTCACTAGTAGTAGCACTCCATATTAGTGTGTGAACATACCAATTAACATTCAAGTACTTTTTATGAAGAGCAATTTGACAGTAACTGTCAAATTCTAAAATACACAATATCTACTAAGTCATAAAAGGTCCAAATTTGTGCAAAGTTACAAATTCTATAAAGTATACATACTAAACTATATGTAGAAGGATAGTATAACATTGTTTACAACAGCAAACTAGAGAAATTGCTAAATAAATGATGATTTATCCACAAATGAAATATCTAAACCTCCTTTTTAATGAGGTCTATTTATATGTACTGACAAGACATTTCAAAATGCACATACATTTGCATTTCAAATGCACACTACTTCTCTATGAAGTCTTAACAGAGATTATCTTTGGAAAGACAGATCGCAGGGAAAGAGGGGCAAATTTTACTTTTAATGTTATGTTTTTTACAATACTGTTTAAATTTTTTTTTTTTTAAACAATGAGCAGTGCTACCTTCCACCAAAGAACACAAAACCCAGCTGGTCATGGTGGCTAACACCTATAATCCTAGCACTTTGGGAGCCCGAGGGGGTTGGAGTGCTTGAGCCCAGGAGGTTGTAGTGTGAACTATGATGGCTACACTCTAGTTGGAGTGACAGCAAGACTCTGTCTCCAAGGATGAAAAAGAAAACCCAAAATGAAGGGAGAAAAAAGTATAATGTGCAAAAAGGAGAAGTAAAACAAACAAGTTAAAGAAAAGAGTATGTAAGATATAAAAGAGATAGCTACGAGTAAATAAGGTCACACAGATAATCTGGTACAATCAGATAAAACAGAAATTGACTATTGAGGCTCTTAGTTTAAATAAATTACCTTCATCACCAGGCAGAGCCTTTGCAGGCATCCTGTTTATAGTCCTTTGAGTTCGAGGTGCAGGTTTGGCTTTGTTTGCTTGTTTGGAGATGAGCTTTATAGGAATTCGTCTGCGAACATCGAGACCACCCAAGGATCCAGAACTATTAGTGCCTTGTAACTCATTGTCTGTTAGAAAAAAAAAGTATAATATCAGTTTTTCTTTTTGGAGGTTATTGGGCCACAGGTACTAAAAACATACTCAACATTATTCAGAGTTAAAGATCTGCAACCTGATCTTAAATATTACATTGGGAGACTTAAGCCCAGGAGCGGGAAGTTGCTGTGAGCTATGATGTCACATCACTCTACGGAGGACAACATACTGAGACTTTGTCTCCACAAAAAAAAAAAAGAAAAAAAACAAAACAAAACCAAAACCATTCCTATCCCCATGTCTCATCATCAAGTGTGAGGGTGGCGCCTGTGGCACAAGGAGTAGGGCCCCATATATGGGAGGTGGCGGGTTCAAACCCGGCCCTGGCCAAAAACTGCAACAACAAAAAATAAAATAAAAATGAAGTCCTATTCTAATCATCAAGTATGCAAAGTAAGCACTCAATAAATTTACTAAGCTTATGTTAGGACAACCAAAACTCAAAGCATAAAACTAATACTAA